AACAGTGAATCAGCTTTTCAGGTCGTTGGACCAAGGAACGTACCCAAAAATGGAGATGCCCCTCGTTCCCCATGGAAATCCACTGGAGGTCTGGTCAGTTCAAGAAACTCTCTTTCAGCCACTTGCCCCGGGGGGGGGAGTAAGCCAGAGTTAGACTTAAGGACCGGGTTCTTGGACCCCGTGCTGCACGATGCCATCCTCGAGCGCCTGCAGGTGAGGTCGCGCGAACTGAGGGAGTCGAACGAGCGACCGCGCAAGCGCGCTCGGGTTTAGGCGACCTCCAGTGCCGATTTGTTTTTCTGGTTTGCATGGGCTTCCCTTCTTTCCCAAAGGAGCCCTTCTTTTCCCATGGAAATCCACTGGAGGTCTGTGGCGATGGAATGGCCCTAGTTTTTACTTTGTGTGAATTCGGATGTGGTGTGGTGAATTCACATTGCAGAATGATGCACTGCAAGTAATTTGGCGGAACCGCCAGAGAGGAGAAGGAAGCACGGAGTGAATGAACTTGCTGCTGGGATTCAGCCGCCGGCCAAGGACAACAACTATGGCAAATGTTGAAATTCCCGAGCAGAATGTGCCTTCAAATGATTGGTTTCCTTTGAAACAAGCATCTGTTTTTTGACCTCGTCTTGATTCTCAAGTTTCCCCTAAAGGCCACTCTGCCAATTTTTTCTGACCCGACTCTGGCCGGGTGTCCCTTAATTAGCACTCGCCAAGCCCCCCGCTGTTGCTGATCCCCCCAACAAAGACAAGTAGGGAATTGCCGCTACTGTGCATCCCTGTATGCAACACTTAACACAATTTAACATTCAAATGGGTCAAATGTTGGTGTGTGTGTGTGTGTATATGTATATATATATATACACATATACATTGCACATATTACCAACATGGATTGTGTGGGGTAGTCGATCCCCTTCTTGGCCAATCCCTGCGCGGTTCGACCCTCGCCAACAAACACATACTCCGAATGCCATGGACTCCCGTCTCTCCCTTGAGTGGGGCCACTTGCAGCTGTTTGATAAGCGAAAGACCATTTTTAACTTAAGCTTCCCTCGCCCAGCGGTTGAGTCTTTTCGCACGGGCAATGGGGGCTTCACACCGTTCATACGACTGGGATTTTGCAGTTCCAGCCTTCAAATAGGTGGATTTGAGCAAGCTCCCCAGAGACCAATCCTGTTCAACCAAAGGCTTGTTTTTCCCCAAAAAACAGAAACACATGCTGAACTTTATGGTAGTTCCTTCAAGTTGATCAAGCATCCAACAGGTTCCCAAAGCCAATCCAATCGGCCAATCAAAGACTGACCACCAACGAACCAACCAAGCACGCAACCAAGCAAGCAATCAACCAACCAGCCAGCCAGCCAGCCAGCCAACCAACCAACCAACCACGCGACTGCGAACCAAGCACACAAGCACATTCCCTGGTCTAAGCGGAAACCCAAACGAAGAAGGATGGGGTCATGTTAAAATCAACCCCACACTTGGGCCCGCTCTCCCTTTGGCTTCTCTTTCAAGCAGCCCCCAAAAGCTGGTACCCTGTTCAAGCAGACGCTCAGGGAGGTACTCTCCTGCAGATCTACATGGCCCCCCCCCTTTCCCTCCAAAGCTGCCATATTTACCCCTCTTTGAGCTTCCCGGTTCTTCTCATTATCACTATACTAGCCAAGGGATTTCCACTGTTTTACAACTAGAGGGAACATCTCTGGTCGCAAAATTTTGAGAACCCCTCAACATGTTCACTTTGAGGCACGACTGGAAGCTGGTCTGCAGTTGTGTTCAAGGACCCAAGCTGTCTCTGTGCGCCTTGCGCGCCTGTGCGGGCTTTGGGGAGTTCATGACTTGTGTGGGGTGGCCAGTCCGGGGGCTTTGAACTTTAACCGGAGGGCCGATGACGTATATCGGAGGCTGCCCTGCGATAGCGAGCGGGAGGGGCGGTTTTCGTTGGCCTCGCTCCATCCCATTCTATCCCATCCCATCCCATCCCATCCCATCCCGTTCCCGTTCCCGTTCCATCCCATCCCATCCCATCCCATCCCATCCCATCCCATCCCATCCCATCCCATCCCATCCCATCCCATCCCATCCCATCCATCCAATGAGGCTGGCTTGCACTGAACATAGCAAAATGCAACTCGAAGCAAGACATGAACGTTGATACGTTTTCAACGCTCATGTGCCCTGCCAGTGCGAAGGTTCGAGACTGAGAGCATGGGCTTAAGCTGGGTGCCGTGACACCATTTGCTTGGCTTAACAAAACATCCGCCAAAGGGTTCCCGGTTCTAGAAGGACTGGGCAACGCCTGATGGAAGCATTGATGTTGAGACATCAGTGTCGGCCTGTTTCAAGAGTTAGTTGGTACAACGCTGAGCATCGTCACCTGTGCAAGGGGCCGAACGCCCCACCACATTCAGGGTCACGGGACAAATACCGGTTTTCATTTTCATATTTTTTTAGGCCCCTACGCAGAAAGCTTGGGCAAGAGTATCAGCCAGCCCAGCTAGCCTTGATGGCTAAAGCCATAGACACGGCACACGCGCGAGTGGAGATATGCCTGCCAAGTGGGATCAGCTGCTCCGTATCAGCGTCGCCAGGGACGCCTTTACTTCAACTGAAGTTGGAGGCCCAGCAGCTCCTGCAGCGTGGCTTTCTGAGGTTGTCCTTTGGCGGTCGGCTGCTGGACCTGTCGTCCACCTTGCGGGACCTGGGAGATGGGGACAGATCGCGAGTTGAGATCGAAACAGACGACGCACTGGAAATCCGCATGGACGCCGTTGTTCAGAGAGTAAAGTTGGCTTCCACGGGCCAAGCTTTCGCCATATATGCCGCAGGAGGCTCTGTGGTGACTTGGGGCGATCCTGCCTCTGGCGGAGACAGCAGTCAAGTGCAAGATCAGTTGGCGCGCGTCCAGCAGATCGAAGCGACGCAAGATGGGGCTTTTGCAGCCATTCTGGCCGACGGCGTTGTGGTGACTTGGGGCGATCCTGCTTGTGGCGGTGACAGCAGTCAAGTGCAAGAGCAGTTGGTGCGCGTTCAACAGATCAAAGCAGCTGGTGCTGCTTTTGCTGCCATCCTGGACAACGGTTCTGTGGTGACTTGGGGCAATCCTGCCAATGGTGGTGACAGCAGCCAGGTGCGAGAGCAGTTGGTCCGTGTCCAGCATATCCAAGCAGCTTCCTTTGCTTTTGCAGCCATTCTGGCCGACGGCGTTGTGGTGACTTGGGGCGATCCTGCTTGTGGCGGTGATAGCAGTCAAGTGCAAGAGCAGTTGGTGCGCGTTCAACAGATCAAAGCAGCTGGTGCTGCTTTTGCTGCCATCCTGGACAACGGTTCTGTGGTGACTTGGGGCGATTCTGCCTCTGGCGGTGACAGCAGCAAGGTACAGGAGCAGTTGGTGCGCGTCCAACAGATCAAAGCAACCGGTGCTGCTTTTGCTGCCATCCTGGACAACGGTTCTGTGGTGACTTGGGGCGATTCTGCCTCTGGCGGTGACAGCAGCCAGGTACAGGAGCAGTTGGTGCGCGTCCAACAGATCAAAGCAACCGGTTCTGCTTTTGCTGCCATCCTGGACAACGGTTCTGTGGTGACTTGGGGCGATTCTGACTCTGGCGGTGACAGCAGCCAGGTACAGGAGCAGTTGGCACGGGTTCAGCAGATCGAAGCAACCGAGGATGCCTTTGCTGCCATCCTGGAGGATGGCTCTGTGGTGACTTGGGGCGATCTTGTCGGTGGGGGTGACAGCAGTCATGTTCAAGAGCAGTTGGTGCGGGTCCAACACATCCAAGCAACTTGGACTGCTTTCGCCGTCATCCGTGATGACGGATCTGTGTTGACTTGGGGCGATCCAGAGGATGGAGGTGACAGCAGTCGCGTGCTGTCTAAGCTTGAATTCTTGTGAGATGGAGTCTGGGCAAAATAAAATGCGCCTACCTGGGGTTCAAGCGAACTCACTCGAGGGTACTCTTTTCACCTTGGTGTATTTTTATTGAAGGAACACCAAAAGGATGTGTTGGTTCCCTATTTTGATGCGCACACACACACCTATATGTAAAGCATTATCATTGTAGTTTGCGTTGCCTGTGTCGAAATCAAGAGGAGCGTCTTGATAGCTCAGCAGTAGGTGCTGCTCTTTTGCAATAGCCAATGCGAGACTGCCTGGTTAGTTGGGACATAGCAAAGCAGTAAAGCCTGTATGAACCTTTATAACCATGCCCGTAAAACAAAAAGTGGATGGGTTTGGGGGGGGGGGCGCTGCTCATGTCGCAAAAGGACACCGTTTGGCCATTCAGAATCACATGTTTGCGCTGAGACCCAATTTGATCCCCACGTCTATTCTGGAGTCTAAGAAAAGATGTTATACTTAAGGCCAGAATAAGTATGGCTAATAAATTTTGAACGGGAATCCGTGGTTGGTGGACATGAACCCCCACCTACATGATGTTCACCAAATGGTCCCTATGAAAAATACGCCCGGGGGGGTTGCCCAAATCGGAAAATATGCTCTGTTTTGTCTGTTTCTGTATTTGTGGCTCCCCATTTCTGTAAGGCACTTTGCCGGGCCCTCAATCAATCATACAAAGCAGCCAGCCAACCAACCAACGAACGGAGCAAGCAAGCAAGCAAGCAAGCGAGCGAGCGAGCAAGCAAGCAAGCAAGCGAGCGAGCGAGCGAGCAAGATCGAGCAAGCAAGCACCAAGCAGCCAAGCAGCCAAGCAGCCAAGCAGCCAAGCAACCAAGCAATCAGCCAGCCAGCCAACCAACCAGGCAACTGGTGGCTGGCGTGGATTTTGTCCACGGACAGAGCGGGGGGCCGGGGGACACGGTAGATGCACGAATTATTGCAAGTACATCAACCATACTCAACCACACCACGGTAAATCACGGTAAAGTAGAGAATCGGCTTCCAATAAAACCCACAAAGAATCCCTTGCAGCATTTTTCACCAAAGAAATCCACCAACCTCAAAAGTGGGGAGGGGGCCTGGGCCTCAACCCCCGGAGGTCTCCTGGGAGCAGAAGAGGTCGGCCGCCACGTCGGCCTTCGAGGCGGAGGTCTGCTTTGGCACCGCGGGCTCGGATTCGCAGGCTCTCGGGCCTGGGGCTCGGGGCTGCGGGGGAGCAGGCAGGGACTTTGGCGTTGCAGGCCCACTTTGTAGGTGTTTGTGGTCGCGTTTCGTTTGGGATTCGATCAGTTCGTTGGATAAAGGAAGAAACTCGGAGGTTGATTGCGAGGAAAAGCTGTGGCTCTTGACTCTTGACTCTTCCTGAGGAGTGTGCAACCGCAGCCTTCATCTTAGATTTACTTCCTCTTCCAAGCATGTCCGGAGAATGTAGGTTGCAAGCGTCATGACGCATCAGAGGAGGGAGAAGCTCTTACCACTTGGAATTGAATCACCACACGTCCGGGCTGGGATTTTCTTGCGACACGGGGTAGCGCCTTTGATTCTTGCTGGGGTCCTGCGTTTTGCCTTGAAGGACTGGCAACCAGTGCGCAGCCTTTACCTGCAGCAGATGACGGAGGATTCCACCGAAAAGGATGCTCCTGCGGGTCCTCGGTTAGTCCAGGCAGCATGGCGGCAAGTCAGCCAGGACAACGACTACGCCCTCGCCAAAATCGGACCCGTTTCATCTTTCCCATTTGTGGGGAAGACCTGTTTAGATTCGTAACCTGCATCTGGTCACTTGAGCCCAAACACGGGAGGATTCCTCGGCTTTTCGTTTGAGGCGTCTGTATCGCTGGAAGCGGACTATACCCACCTGGAGCAAGCTTGGCGGCTGCGAGTGCGGGTGGCAGGCGGGGCCTACTCGTTTTTCCATGTGTCTCAAAATAGGGGAACCCCCCATTGGCGGTTTTCTTTTGATTTGCCCTTGTTGCGCAGTAAACAAATGGTCCGTTGCAAGGCTCCTCTCAGCAGTTGCTAGATGGACAAACGCACCTGTTTTGGAATCTGTGATGGTGCAGGTGATGCAGCTGGCATCACCAGCATTGCCAGCATCATCAATTGTACAATGCAGTTCACATCGTCAGCATTATGAACATCACTAGCATCACTAGCATCACCAGCATCACCAGCATCACAGGCCAACTCGATGTAGATAACTCTTTTTGGATTTGTCGTCGCAACCTCAGTTGTCACGAGTCCTCACATGAGGCACACGCAGCTCTTCAAACTGGCTGCGGCACCCCAAACCCCAGCAGGAGTCGAACCGGGAATCCCCGGTTTTGTCCTGGACAAGCTTCGGTTGTTCCGAACAAGCTTTGGGGAAATTAGATGACGGGTAAACCTTGACCACTAGAAATGGCCAACCCAAAGAAATGGTTGCATGCCGGGAAATTGTAATTATGTGTGTGTGTGTGTGTGTGTGTTTTGTTTCTTTTGGGGGGCTCTTTTCAAATTGTTCGGTCCTATCTTGACAAACCTCCACATTCACCTAGTCTGAACTTTGTGTTTGCAAATGTCTGCTCTTCTTTTTGGAACCTCAAAAGTTGATCAACATAAATCCGAGAAGATGTCCGGGCCCAGCCAAAAAACACAAGCGCCATCTCACGGGTGCCTTGGGCCGTCGACCAGTCGACCAGTCGACCCGCATGCAGGCGGTGACTGGTCCACGCCCAGTGCTTGGCAAGAGCCCAGCGGCACAGCCGCGGAGCTGCCGCATCCCTCCAAGCCCTCCGTCAGGAGCCAGGGACGGTACAGTTGCCACGAGAAAAAGACAACATATTGCAAGTACACAACACGGTTCAGATTGTCTTCAAACTTATCATGGTTTCTCCGTGGTTTGGGGGGTCTTTCACATTTAATTGCAAGATGGTAGGGGCATCCGTGGTCTTTGGGTTGACGTGGGATGTCGCTTGCTTCGCAAGTGCCATCAATCCCAAGAGCATTCGGATGGGGACTCGATTGTTTTTGGACTCAACAAAGAGGCAAATTAATTTTGGGTCTTTGCAGGAAACGGGCAGAAGTTTGTTGCCACACATGCGTGTTCTGTTTTTTGTTTGTTGTTTCATGTGTGTGCGCCCCTTTGCGCATGGGAGAGCCGCGGCAGTGTTTGCGCAAAGGTTTCGTATTTGTGGTGTTTAAAGAAGCTCTCACAATGTATTTATATCCTGTCACAACACCCAAGCGAATGTACGTGGTGCCTGATGTTTCTTCGCTTGGAGTGTTTTTTTTGTCGCCCTTGCCGAAGTAGTGGCCTTTCAAGCATCCCAACAAAGAGTGCCCCGCTCGATTCCATCTAGTGCACACAAAAAAGGGCCCACAGGCCCTTGCCGATGTGTTTCCATGATTGAATCTAAGACTGATAGAGGTTGATCTTGTTGGACGAATGTTTGGTCAACTCCGAAATGCGGATTGTATTCAAGTTAGCATGCTTTGAGTATCAAGCCCTTGTCCAAAGACCTATCCAAAGGCCCCAAGGGTTTCTAGGGCACGGGTCCCTACAGTTCACTTCTTCCGGATGATTTTGAACATTGCCTAATGTCCAAATCCTCATGCGGGCTAGGTTTCAAGTATTGAGTGAATCTGGATAGCACAACCTCCCTAGTTCCATCTACTTTCACCCAGGTGTAATGCAGGTACCCTAATATGCACTAATATGCAGGTGGCAACATGATGCAAAATGGGGCTACACAATAGCACGCTGTGTTCTCCTTTGATCATGACTGACTTTTTTCTTCCTACAACCCCATAAGGATTCGACTTCCCCCAATGCCATGGGCCTTCCGTTCCCTTTGGGCTAGGAGCAACGTGTACACCTACACCTTGGAGTGGGCGGTGAGCGGTGGGGATGCGCTGGTGCAGACCTTGCGATACGAGGTGCAGGCGCCCGGGCCGGGCGCCTGAAGAGGTGCTCCAAATGGATGGCCTCTATTTGCTTTATGAACAACGGGGTTTGTTTCCTTTTTGCAAGGCAAGGACGAAGCCAAGGGCAGCAGGGGCCTCTTTTGATTTCCTTTTCAAGTGCAATTTGGTTTTTAGGGCAATAAACCCGTTCGACCTGAGCTGCGGATGCGAAGAAAGGCAAGTCAGGCAGTTGGAGTGGATGCTGTCAAACATTGCTGACCCAAGGCTGTCAGAAAGGACTTTCGGACCTCTCCTGAATGCCGTTCTTCTCTCCCTGCTGAGAATGGTTGCTTCCTATGTGACCACTAAAATTGTCGGGGTTCAATTTCAATTCAACGAAGCTTCGGAACCGTCCACTCGGGGCACCCCTTCCCATCCCCTCGCCCTTCCGCGCGACTTCGCACCTGGAAGGTTCAGGCGCGGAAGAGGCGAGGCAGCAGCAAGTTCTCGGATTGGGTGGCGGTGCGCAGCTTCTACAGCCCCGAGGAGGCCCGATGTTCGCCGGACGCGGGTGAGTGAGGGAGGGATTGGCCCGGCTTGGCGTAGAGTCGGGAAGATGGCGAGAAGCTCGGAGGTCTGGAGAATGATCTCGGAAAGGGGGTCCCGCACATACCAGGTGCCCGAAGATTTGGGTAGCGTATGCTGGTCGCCCAAGGTGGCAGACCCACCCCACCGCAACCAGACTCGACTACCCCCCCAAACCAGCCTTCAGCCGACAGGGTCCAAAGCCTTCAAGGTTCCCAACATTTCCCCTTTTGCTGTAAACACCACTTTGGTGAGAACCAATTCATTTGGTATGTCTTATGCAACCTGGCCCCCCTGAGTGGGTGAGATTTTTTCCTCTTGCCAAGTTGGCGAGTTTCCTTTTGCAACGAGGTCTCCCTTATCTGCTGAGCACCAAAGCCCTCAGTTTCCACCCCAAGGCAATCCGTTTTGTCTAAGAAACTAACTACAGGAAGTTCTGCAGGAACCCCCTGATTTTGGTGGGATTTTGGCGAGTTTCCGGTATAATTTCCTGTAGCTTTCTATGATTTTGGGATTTCGGTCTCAAGGCACCGGCATCCGAGGCCTCGGGGAACTCCTGCGCGGTGACGGCGGTCGTCGAGCGCGCCGCCGCCGCGGAGGCGGTGAAGGTGAGCTTCGGCTACGAGGCGCGCTGCGGGTCGGCGATGGGCGAGTTCCGGGAGGTTTCGGGTCCGGTTGGGAGGGTGAAACCCCTTTCCCCCCCTTTGTTAGGGTGAAACCCTGCAAGAACCACCGCAAGTTTGCTTGTAGCTTTAGGGAGAAAAAAAACACCCCTTGGTTACCAACAGGTAAATGGAACCACTGGGATGAGCTGCTCCCCCGTGTTCACTCCCGGGTCTCATCATGGATTCTACTAACTGAAAATTTCGAACCAAACTGTTTTGAAGCAGCGGAATCGATGTTGTCAACCAAAGCGGCCTTGGTTCTCAGAGAATAAGTTATGACCCCGAACGGACTATCCCCGGCTTCTCGGAATCTACTCGAGCTCAACATCCCTGGAGTAGTTTTCCACTGCCGCCATAGAAGTCCGAGGCCCCTCTGCTACTCCGCCCATTCGGCATAGGATCATTCCCAACCTGGGCCCTCCACTACCCGTTGTTTCAGGCTAGTGTGCCTTCATTTTTCAGTGTTTTGATACATATGCATAATATACAAATATAAATACATGTGTTCTTTTTGTGTGTTCTGCGGTTATTTCCACGGGCAGCCTTTGTCGATGTATGTCTGGAAATATAAATAAACAAATAAATAAACAAATAAATATATATACATATATATATATATATATAGGCAGAATCAAGGGATCGCCCCTTGATTGTTGGATGGTTTGGTTACACTCCTGGGGTTCTCCAAGATCCCATGGGTTTTCATGGGTTGGCGGTTGTCCCATACACTCTTCCCACGGCTTTCCCCCTGGCCCATGGCAACTTCATATCCATAAGCTGAGACTTGCAACTCAGCTCTTTTTTTGGCCTAGGTGCTTTCCCAATCGCAGAGATGTCCCTTACCGCAGGACCCAATCCCCTTCAGCCATCCCTCGGTATGCCCAGCGGCCGTAAGGAGCTCCGCTTCCGCGTGCGGGCGCTGAGCACGCAGGGCGCCTCCGCCTTCTCCGAGCACTCGGAGACGGAGATGCTGCAGGACGGAGACGCACCGGGTCGAAGTTTTAACGAAACGGAGCGTGTCGGGGAAGAGGGGGGAACGGCTGGAACCAAGTCGCCTCGTGTAAAACGCGCTGGCGTTCTTTTTTCCCCCTTTTGTTTTGTTCCCCCGGCAGAGGTGTGCATTGTGTTAAGGTCTTTGTTTGGTCGGACATGGATGGTATAGGGTTACAATCTGTTTCTTTGAACTCTGGCAGGATCTGTTTTTGCTTCTTGATGTTGAAGAAATGGCAACAGTGTATGCTTTGTCCCAGTATTGGGTTGGGGGCATTTGTTCCCGCCTTTGATTTTGTCATTTTGCGCCAAGCCGGGTTGGGGAGTGAACATGTTTCTTTTGGGGCATCGGTGTCCTTGTGAGTTAGTTTGGTTGAAAATGGTTTCCACTTCAAACTGGTTTGGTTCCGATTGAAACCCAGCAAGATGTGTTTTTCGCAAACCAAATGCACAAGCTGAGAACAGATGTCTTTTGTCTACGGGGGTGCTCTGAGCCTTCAAAAGATGACCGAAGCAAAGCACCGGTTCCTTGTAGTTTCCGCCAAATTGCTCTGCTGCCTTAGCAAGCCAGGGGCTGGATCGGCGATTGCCTTGGGGCCCAGAGGCAACCAGCGGCAACCAGCGGCATCCTTTGATTGAACTAACGTCCCTTTGCCTGGTGATGTTGGGTGCCATGTGACGCAGCCTTGGGCTTCACCGTGACATAGTCACCATGGGAACGGAAAGGGCCGCATAGGTTGGGAAGTTTTCCCCGCACTCATTCCCGGATATTCACTGGCGGTCTTTTGCAGGATGTGGTATGGTGGGTGTCCCACAAAAACTAGTCTGGACAACAAGAATTGGTGCCCTTTTCTACCTTTCCGGTCACTGAGCCGTCTGCAGTATACCGTGCGCCGTCTGCGGAAAGCCCGTGCGCCGGCAAAATCCGCCAGGTGGCTCAACCTGCAGTGCAGGGCGAGGCACGCCCTTGCACGGGGCTTGTGTTTCCGGGGCTTATTATCCCCCCGAAAGGCTTCACACAAGACCTGGCGACGAACGATGTGTCAAAACAGGGGGATCTCCAACATGGATGCCTGAAAACCAACCCCCAAAAACGGTACCCCAAAAAATGAACCTCCCAAAAATGGTACCCCCCAAAAACAAAGCGCACACCCAGATACGGATGTACTGAGCCACACGCATGCCCATTGAGGGAGGTGCCATCGCCTTTCGCCAGGTGCCCCTACCAGACCTGGCCGGCCGTGGCTACGTGCTGCTGGAGGCGAGCTGAGAGGGGAAGTGAACTTCTCGCCTGAGTTCATTGGATTCATGAACTCTAGTCACCTGGGAAGATCATTTTGGCAACCGCCATCGTTTTTGCTGGCCAATCTCGGGAGGTGAGGCTTCGAGTGCTGGAAAGTGGGCGTTGGACCCTCACACTCACTCCAGGTTCTTGGAGTCCGCTTTCTGAGTTGATCAGTGACACCAACCCCAGAAAGCAAGGGTCAAGTGCGCTGCGGCGCCCGTTCAGAGGGCCTTCGAGTTGGTGAAATGACAACAGGGCTTGCTTTGCCCTCGCCGGGGTTCCCTGCATTTCAACCCACACATTGTTGCGGTTAACACTTGTGTTAAAAGTAACAACCGATAGCGGAAGGCATTTGAATCACACTCAGATTCGAACCTTGAGTGCCTGCAGGATGACACTGCTTGATTCATGCTCCGTTCGCCATTTTGGCTCAAGCCAAATTTTTCTTTTCTTTCCGACCTACCTGCCCTGCCTGCTCGACCGCCATGACTGCTCCAGCGAATTTCGCATCCATCGTGGAGGAGTACCAGCTCATGGAAATGACCGAGCTCGACCCGGATTATGAACGACTGTACCGGGCCCTTCAGGACCATCTTTCGATCCTGCCCGAGGCGGTCGGTCCGGGCAACATCTTGCAGGGCAATCAGGTCTGCAACCAGTTCATCAACCATTCCGGCTGCAGGGGACGTGCACCTGCCTCTGCCCACCAGTGCGCCTTTTTGCATCCGGAGTTCGTTGATGCGCGTTGGATGCCGCGAGACAACATCTGTTACCGACATCTTCGACAACAGGCCCGGCATCCAGAAGGCTTTTGCGACAGTGGTGCCGAATGCCGCCATGTTCACAGCGACTCAGTCCTGCATGGTGACCTTCTTGCCTGGCTGCGCTTCGTACACCATGCCAGACCCAACACCGGCGTGGGCATCCACTATGACACAGCCCACCGTGAATGGCGCTTCGTGTCCAGGCGGGAGGCCTTTGAAATCCTCCGCGACCACCTTCACGGCGAGTGGAACACGCCCATTCACCACATGAACGTTCGGTACCCCGATCCGTGCACCTACCAGATGCCATACGCGGTACCACGTGGCCCGCCAAGCACATTGAACCCGTCTCGCCAACGGAACAACACCCCCCGACAGCAGCGAGGCCGCTCCACACAACCGGGATACTCCCGAGCTATGACACCACCGCGGACCGTCAACTTCGCGACACCCACGGCTCGCGACACTCCCAGACAGGCCCGATTCCCGGAGGCGACCACCACATCGACCGGGCCCGTCCCGCACCACATGCCTTCACCACGCCCGCAACCCACCACACCATCCAAGGCGGCACCCCCCACACCATCCAACCAACATCACGACTTAGTCCAGTGGCTCCAGCCGCCAGGCATCGACCGTGACGACAGCACACAAGGCCTGCTGTCAACCCAGCGGGCCGGACACATCCGCGCGCGGGTACACGAAGATGCCACCTTCCTGATCAATCCGGAACTGCTACCGGAATTCCCCTCCGTCCTCGACCACATCGGCTTGCAATGGCACCTGACCAACTACGGCATCTTCTCGCGCACCCCCACCAATGTGTACGGCAATGACTTCGGGGGCCTTTTTCTTGTACCCGTGGAACCAACTACGCAGGTCACACCTCTCAGGAGCCTGCTGCGCTGGATTATCCAGCAACACGTTCACCAACAACTCCAGCTGCTCAACAGCGCCAACCGGCAGCACATGCTACAACAACTGACCTGTTCCTGGCTTACCTTCGGGAGGCAGCTCTGTCGCGCCTCCCGGCGAGACCCTTTTGTGGACAACATGGCAATCACCTTCGGGGAGACCATCATTGAGACAATTTCCAATTTCCTGACCCCCGAACAACGCACCATGGCGACCATCGAGGGCATCCTGCTCGGCCCCGACGGACACCTGCGCTTCAACCGGGAGCTCTAAGACTGAGCAGAGCCAGGACTCCCGCTACTGACCAGGCGGCACCGAGGAGTCTCCAAACCCGCCACCCTAAGTTGACCCACCAAGTCCATGTCCCGTGCGATGGTAGGCCAGCAATAGGGCGATGACCCTCATACCGCACAGGTGACACCCATGCCTAGGCGACCGCCTGAGGCCCCCTTTTCCCGAAGAGAGATCCATCTTCGGACCGCGCAAAAGCGCTGAGAGCCTCGAGCCCGGGTCGACCCTCTTCGTCCCCCCTGTTTGATTCGAGAGGATACCCCTTGACAAACCGACCCACTGCTGAGGCCCATACTGCGGTGACCAATCCCCACTCGCCTGCCCCGAACCCGACCGGTCTTTCACCCCACTTCGGATCCCCTGTGGATTACCCTCGGTTTCTTCGGGTCGGATCCCTGATGACAAACTGGCCGACCCCGGTCACCTTCACACCGCAGGGAGTTGGTCCTACGGGACAGCTCCACCCCTCGGGATGACATTTGTGCCGGTGTGGCGTGTCATCTAACACGACGTTTGTGCCGGTGTGGCGCGTCGTACAGATCCCCCCCATCAACGGGCCATCCTTGGACCCGAGTCACCTAGACACACCCCCCTGGCCCGACCAACCCCCCCCCCTTTGACTCACACCCGGCACACTACCGACTCCTGCGTGAGTTCGGCAAGCGCCACCTCCAATTCCGAAGGAATTTTCAGGCTGGTTTTTGTGTATCCGATATCGCACCCCCTTCGCACAACATGGCACTTCGCGAGACCGACGCAGTCTGCGAGCTCCTCCTGCGGTCCTACAACACCGGCGTCCTCTCGAGGTTCCAGACCTTCCGCACCGAGAATCCCCGCCTCTCCACCACGGACGCGATCGACCTCTTCATGGAGTCGACCAACACCGAGCCGGACACGCGGACACGCTACCTGCTGCTGGACTGGCACAACCTGAATCCAACACCAGCCACACTGCAGTGCTCGTTCTGCCAGATCCCATACCAATCCCAGTACATCATGCCCCTCTGCTTCTCAGAGGAAACCGACTGGCGAAACAAGTGGGTCGGGGCGTGCTACGGGTGCGCTACCTGCGACACCAGTAGCGTGCCGTGGTTCCAGTTCGAGGAGCTCCTGGCCGACCCGAACTCCCTGATTGCAGAACACGCACCGTACAACACCATCGCAGAGCACCCCGACCTCGCGGCCATGATCAGCGACCATACCATCGCCCCACCGACCTTACAGATTGCGGTGCCAGAGACGGACGACGCTCACGACGCCTACATCACCGTGCACAGGTGGGACCAGGTCAACCGCCGCTGGATCAGGGTACCAGCCCTCGACGTGAAGAACCGCCGGCCATTCACCCTCGAGGTGTTCAGCAAGCTGTGCCGACGAGCATGGCGACGCCGCTTGGACTACATGACCAACAAGGCCGTCGGCACCATCCGCACGAACACCCACATGGACATGATGGACTCCTTGCGCGAGATCCACCCCGGAACCTCCAACAACAACCTGCGCCGCCTCATCAGCGACCACTCCAAGTTCCTCGCCGAAACCATGTGCCTCGACCTCATCAACCTGGCACCCGAGGACCGACGAGACCTTTTCCTCATGTTCCACAAATGGGAGAGGCAGCACCTCACCGAGGCATTGCGCGCAAACAGCACCGGGACCCTCCTTGAGTTCTTGGACTCTGACGACTATCCCACACACCTCACCGATTTCATCACCCGCGTCCTCCCGTCCACCGACGAGCACTTTATCTGCCGACGTCAGTCGTGCAAAGCGGTGGTACATTCGTCACATTGGCTGCGCGCCACCGCCAACATCACCGAGCACGGCCAGTTCTTCTGTCCCGAGTGCCTCCAGCAATACCACCCCTGGAAAACCTACAGTGACGCCAAAGCCGCATCCCGAGGGGAGGCCCTGACCGCAGCCGGCCAAGACGACACAGAACGCTTCGTGCCGGCCCAGAAGTGCCTCGTGGTACGCGCCACCGCTGGAGCACACGAGACGGACCAATTGGCAGAGGCCATCACCGGCGACGACGACCGGCGCTACATGCTCTACCTTCTTCGCTGGGAGGAGGACACGACCGGCAAGCTCATCCAACAGATGAAGGTCCACATCAACGAGATCGCATCCGACCTGCGACAAGCCAAGGACCCCCGCGCCTATCTGGCCGACATGATCATGAACAACATGCAGACGGCTCAGAAACTGCCATACATGCACAGGACCTTCTGGACCCAAGAGAAGCTGGAGCAAGTCGCCCAGCGCAACCTGGGACGCATCAAGCCACTCCGAGTCGACCTGCTCCCCAGCCAGAAGCGACAACGCCACCAACCCGCCACGCCCTTCTACGACATGCGGCGCTATCGCTACGACCCCAGTTCCACCCGCATCCTTGAGTCCTCGGACCTCGCCAGAGTGATGGGGCTGTGCTTTTGCCGCCTCAAGCTCTGGACCTGCCAAGACCTCGAGGGGGCGGACCGTCTCAACCACTTGAGCGCCCTGTGACGGACCTCGACCAGCACCGCAACCACTACGACCCGAAGGGCGTCCGTGTCCCGCGCGAGCCCGGAGGGTCCGACCAACGCGGTTGCCTTCGCACGACCCATCTTCCTGAACCTGCCGCCGAAGTGCAACCTCGTTTGGCAGTACGTCAGGACACCCGTGCAAAGTGCAAAAGGCGCACCATGTGTTTGAAGCCAAACACCCCTAAATCCCCCCGGACTTTTGCTCACCTTGATTGTTTGCATTGTGCTTTTGTCTCCACGTGTGGCAAACCTTTGATACATTTTACATAGCCATTTTTGGCCCCTCTCGGCCCTTGATACAGATCACCCCGAGATGACGTTCCGTGACATTCGAGCATGGCTACACCAGCGGTCTTGCTGGCGATCGCCCCGCTCGTTGCCCTAGCCGGAATAGACGACTTGGCGACATTCCGCAACATGGACCGGGCTGCATTGGTGCGGATCGGCGTGCCACACGACCTGATCAATCGACTCCTGGGCG